GCAGGGTCTCTATAGGAGAAATTCCTAAAGATGCTGGCTGCTGTAACATAAAAAGTGCCTGACCTATTTAGAATATAAGCTGTGGCTGTCCCCCACCAAACAAAATGTGATGAGTGACTGGTGGAGTGGAAACCTTTCCATGTTGTCCTGCCTTGAAACGTAAAAACTAAGATACCATTTGATTCTCAATTGTCATGGAAAAAAATTCTGGGAATGTCCAGCCAGCATAGACTGTGTTCAGAAGGTACAAGAAACTTTGTTAGAAATTAGAAATTAAGAAGGGATTAGAGCCTAGTCTAACGTTTAAAACCATGCATCATTTTGGGGATATCCTGATACCCATCTCGCCCTCCTTTCCCTATTGCAACCTGCAATAAACTAATTCTTGTTTTGCACTTACTTAAGTGACTGGCGCACATCTATTTTACACCTTGATTAAAGAACCATGATTGATATTGAATGTGCCTGTGATATTATTGCCATGTAAGAATTCTTGGAGCATTTGTTATCGGAATGTTCAGTACTAATAGCAATACACAAGCTAAGCCCATTAGGTCTCTGTTATTAAGTTAGGTTTTGAAATACAGATGAGCTCATTCACATTACAATACCAACATTGTGTTAATGTGCATTCACATTTTTTAGATATGTTACCTTTCTGAAAGGCTGCATTTGAATTGCCCTGAAAGACAACATTTTTATCATTGCACTCAAAATTTAGCCTGCAGGAATTTTTCAAATTAGCTCAAAATGTAGCCTGCAGGATGTTTTTCCAGCTCACTTAAAATGAAATGCAGTGGTAGGTAGAGGCCTTATTGAAAACAGAGCTGTGTTATTTCCCCTACATCAGTCAATTATATATACATGTTTAACTGTCTTATAGAGAGGTATGTACATTTTAGGATGTAGGTTTACTTTAGAGTTTCCATAAATGGGAGCAAATTGTGAGTGCTGATTGTTGCAGTCTTAAATTACTGAGATGGTAAATTTGTAGGTAAATTCCTTTTGATAATTGTGTTATAAAAGAAATATATAGTACTATGCAGAGGCGGACTGACAACTCATGGGGCCCCTGGGCAATAGGGGATCATGGGGCCCCTGTGTCCTTGCCCAAACTCAAAAAAGCCTATGAAAAAGGTACCAGGGGCATCTCATGGGGCCCCCTACTGACCCCAGGCCCTCGGGCAGTGCCGAGTTTCCAAATGGTCAGTCTGCCCCTGGTACTATGTATATGTCTCCTTATGATCAGGATTTAAAAACATTAACTGAAAACAATTGTTTAATTTTCTCACATTTACCAGGCTAACTTGAACAGTTTTTCTGAAAAAAGCTTGTTTACAAAGCTGAATACCTGAAGCTCAAATTACACACAGCTTTGAGTCAAAGGATTAAAGTATATGTATAGCCAAAACTTATTTTTGTTTTAGCTAAGGATAGTGTAGGGAAGGGTAAAAAACTCTACTAGGTCATTTATTGCTGTCTTCATCCTGCTGGGGAGATGTTTCCTCACTAGACACAAGAACTGAGGAAATCTCCGAAAAGCAAGGTGAATTCCTCTCTTAGACAATTGTCCATGAAACGTGTGTCACCATTGAAAGATTTTCACTAGTCTCTTGTTATTGCCCCATACTTTCTGTCTTCATGCACTAGATGCCAGGACAAAAAGAAGGCTGAATCTCCCCAGTGGGGACACAGACTGCATTAAAGAACTCCCCAGAAGGTTTAACTCTCCCCTAATCTGTGAAAAACATACATAAACTTTAATTCCTCTCCTTGCTATGTTCAAATACATACAGAATTTAAAATAAAGAGAAAGTCTCAAAGAAAAAGGCTAATGCTGTGCTTTTTCTGTAAAAATCCAGAATTTCATTCAAAACTAGTGTCATGGGTGCACTGTATAAAATGCCTATTTGTAATATAAAACATTATGAATTAGTAAAAAGAAATTCACAAATGTATTTAAAATGTTAAACTTTAAATAAAAGGCCTAAATAAAACTGACTCGAAACAAAGAAAGATTCCCTTTAAGCTGATATGAGCTGATGCCTCACACATTACTCTTCGGGGAGCCCACTTATCATGTACTGTCTGGCCGACAAGCATGTTGAGTTGCAAAATAATACTCTAAGGACCTGATCCTGACTGATGGGATGATCAAATGCCCTTGTGTGTGTCCTGCTGTGACCCCTTGTCATTGTCAGTGTTTTATACACAAATGCACACCATCGTATATTTTACTGAAAGATCTTTACTTTTTTGCCGACCTTATAAAACATCTTTTCTATATGTCTTTTTGAGGATACACATTTTCAACAAGCTGTTAACCAGGGGAATATTATCTCCATCTACACAATCTGTCTTTCTTGAATTATTCACATAGCAGGTTCATGAACTCCCTTAACCTGTAGAATTCTCTAACTACCCTTATCAAATACTCTTGGGAGTTGCACACATATTCCTGTAATTAGAAATGGATCTGTCATATTCAGCATTATGTGTTTCATACAGCACTGTTCTGGTGGGGATGAGATTTTAAATTAGATTTTCAGACATAATGAACAATGATTCTTCATACTTCTATCATGTCAGTCAGCTACTAATCCTCTTAAAAGTGATTGTTACTGCTAAAACATTTGATCACATTTTCACTATTCTAAATTGTTCAAGGTCTTTTATTAGGTAAGTTGTGTTCAAGCTAGAAAATAATACAAGCATTCCGTGCAAAGCTTATGCTGTGAAATTTTATTTTGAATGTTATTGGCCAAGCCAAACATTGCAGCCACCTAAAGGAGAATTTACCTATTTGCAAGAAATAAAAAATGCACCCATCTTGTAAAAAGCATAACTGTGCATGCATTATTTTTTTTGCATCTGAGCCTTCAAAGCATTGAAACCATGACCAGTGGATTGTTGCTGCAATACTCTGGCTCCTGCAGGCTCTTCCTTCAGTTTTGATACTGTCCTCATACTGAGGTATGGACCTTCGGTTACGAATAGAGATGAGCGAATCGAACTTGGCGAAGTGGAATTTGTTTCGAATATTAGGAAAAATTCGATTCGCACCGAATCCGAATTTTAGCAAACTTCGGATGCACGAATCAAATTTTTCCCGATCAGCCGGCAAAAAGTGTCACTGCAGAGAGCTCCGCTATTTCTGACAGTTCTCTGACAGTTCCTTCACATTTACAGAGGTTGAAACATTGTATCTATTTGTTTCCATTTAGGATACAGATGTTTTTATTCGGAAATAAATAGATACAATGTTTCAACCGCTGTAAATGTGAAGGAACTGTCAGACAACTGTCAGAAATAGCGGAGCTCTCTGCAGATACACTTTTTGCTGTACTGGAATTCTTCTTCTTTTCATTCTTCTTCTTCTTTTCATTCTTCTTCTTCTTCTTTTCATTCTTCTTCTTCTTTTCATTCTTCTTCTTCTTCTTTTCATTCTTCTTCTTCTTCTTTCTTTTCATTCTTCTTTTCATTCTTCTTCTTCTTCTTTTCATTCTTCTTCTTTTCATTCTTCTTTTCATTCTTCTTCTTCTTTTCATTCTTCTTCTTCTTCTTTTCATTCTTCTTTTCATTCTTCTCATTCTTCTTTTCATTCTTCTTTTCATTCTTCTTCTTCTTCTTCTTTTCATTCTTCTTCTTCTTCTTCTTTTCATTCTTCTTTTCATTCTTCTCATTCTTCTTTTCATTCTTCTTTTCATTCTTCTCATTCTTCTTTTCATTCTTCTTTTCATTCTTCTTCTCATTCTTCTTCTTCTTCTTTTCATTCTTCTTTTCATTCTTCTCATTCTTCTTTTCATTCTTCTTCATTCTTCTTTTCATTCTTCTTCTTCTTCTTTTCATTCTTCTTTTCATTCTTCTTCTTCTTCTTTTCATTCTTCTCATTCTTCTTTTCATTCTTCTTCTTCTTCTTTTCATTCTTCTTCTTCTTCTTTTCATTCTTCTTCTCATTCTTCTTTTCATTCTTCTTTTCATTCTTCTTTTCATTCTTCTTTTCATTCTTCTTTCATTCTTCTTTTCATTCTTCTTCTTCTTCTTTTTCATTCTTCTTCTTTTCATTCTTCTTCTTCTTCTTTTCATTCTTCTTTTCATTCTTCTTCTTTTCATTCTTCTTCTTTTCATTCTTCTTTTCATTCTTCTTCTTCTTCTTCTTCTTCTTCGTCGTGCCCCGTGACTGCCCAAATGAGTGAAGTGTGCGGTGATTCTAAGATCGACGGCACTCATCTGCATGTCATACTGACTGACAGTATTATTTCTCTTCCCCAGCAGACTCCAAGGGCATTTAAATTAAAGGTACAGTGTTCTGCACTAATATAAAGGCTCTCTGAAGCCTAGAAACCCTTTTAATAAGTTAAATTCGCAGCGAATAAATTCGCATCGAATCGAATTTCTCCCGCAAATTCGGCGAATCAGCCGAATCGAATTTTTGAATAATTCGCTCATCTCTAGTTACGAATCTAGAGGAAGTATCAATGGAGTAAAAGTGTGCTGACATTTCTAGACTTGTGCTCCATTGAGAACTACAGTCCTTATGCTGTGATGGCAGTCAGGACATGTAGTTTTTTCACTCTCTGTGAATAAAAATTGTGGCTGTGTGGGCAGAGCCATGAATAGCCATTCTGAATTCAACTTTAACAGAAACCAGCAGAGAGAAGAGACCCTGGATTCTCTAAGTTGGGGGTGGGGGAGTTTGGGGATGGGGGCTGTGGATTCTTCTAAGTACCCCCACCAGTTGCTTATCTAGTGAGGTTTAGATTAGGCAGTGTGAACTTTCATTAGTTTATACTGGTATTGGTACATGTGATCTTTCTTGAATTACTATGTAATTTTAAAATACATGGAAAACATAATTAAGTTTATGTGTGCCATGTAATACATACATTTACATTCTGTTAAAAACTAATTGCCAACAGTGTGCCATTCATTATATTATGCTGCCTAAAAGCATGCATTCAGTATGTATAGTATGTCATATACCACTGCTTCCTTTCCAGGGAATCTCTCTTCCGTCAGCTCTGTGCCCTCCATTGGTTGTTAGAATCTTTAACAGAGCAGTCTGGCCTGATGCGACCTGTATCCACCTGCTGGAATATAAGGTACAAGCTTTGGGATATTCTAATAATTTTGTAATACTATTTTTCTCGTAACACTTCTTTGAAAATAAAAATTAAAACATGGACTGTGCAGTGCTGTTTGTCGCTTTAGCTTATTCCACATATTGACATTGTTTTGGTCCTTCAGACTGGTTTCAATAGCTGGTCATTTAATTGTTCTGAAAGAAACCTCACTTCTTCACTCAACAAAAATATCAATTTTTCAGTAGATCTTAATGGGTCTTATTATTTTGCAAGCTGTTTATAAACATTGCTGGATAGAATTTAGGATGAGCTAATGTGTCTGGGTTTGATTTGAGGATTTATCAAACCCAGTGTGAAGTCTGAGAATTGTGAACATAAAACCAAACCCTATTAAAGTCTAGGGGGGGAGGGGGCAAATTTTGCTTATCAATTACAGTCAATTTCAAGGCTATTAGGCAAGGGGTTTTCAAAAAAGGAATAGAGAGCTGGTAGACATATACCAATGTAAAAATACATTAAAAAATAAACCATAGTGCAGGGAGAGGGTCCTAATTTTATGTGACTTTGAGGTTGACATAGAAAAAAAAAAAAAAACATCAATCCTTTCAAGTACAATACATGCTTGGGAAATGCCATTAAGCTGTATGAGGTGTTACAGAACAGTTTAACTCTCACAAACAGTGTCAGCAAAACCATTTTCTAGCATCACAATTTTTTGTATGTATAATTCATTTTCTAACTTTCACTTTATTGCTTGGCTTAACTACATTAGCAGCACCCCAAGTTTTTTTATGTAGTTTTTGCTGCAATACCTGATTTTGTTCTCTCCAGCGGTAATAAGCCTGAATTGAACAATGGAAGTAGCAGTCACTACATATCTAAAAGTGTACTTTATAAAAAAATACAACTAAAGGTCTCAACAGCAACTCAACCAATTGGGACAGTAGCAAAACAGTTTCATAGTGTAGATTGTGAGCTTCTTTTTTGCAATACCACTCCACCAGTATTTTCTTGGATGTGTAATAAAATGTCAAAATAGAGTGCACAAAAAAGACTTCCATACCACAGCCACACACTCAAAATATAAAATGTAGTTATATGTTTGGTAGAAAATGGCTAGTGGCAGGACATGAATGAGAACTTTGGGTTAGAAAGAAAATTGAAAGAGATAAGGCAAGTTTTGTCTGCCAATAAAATTAGAGTCTATTATCTAAGAGACAATATCCACAAATATTGTTCAGTGACTGGACAGTATTCTAGCAGCTTTGTCTGGCTACATTTTAAAATGGTGACAAAAGGCTGTTTTTAACATATCATACACATTAGAGTGTTTTATTTGAGAGGCAATGGCCACCTACTATACTCTATAATGCAGTGGCTGGACAGTAGTGAACAGCTTCATTGTGCTGTAATATAAAAGAGATAGACAAGAAATGTTTTATCTTCAAATAAGTGGTGCATCTCCATCCCTATTCCATACTACATAACACATTTAATTTTGCCCATGGGACTTTATATGAGGCACATCACTAAATAAACAGGTCTATCAAATAGTATTATAAAATATTCAGATGCTTGAAAATAGTAACTCTTTATTGTGCATTATATTAAAACTTTTGTATGACAAAATAATTGCATCAAGGTACTAGGTGGTGGAGTAGAGGTTTCCCCTCTACCTGCTATAATTAGTATACTTTTCAGGGTGTTTTTGCTTCTACAGGAGCATATTTCTTGGCCTGAATACAAACAAAGCAAGCATGAAAATATGTAAAATGTAATATTATGTAAAATAAATATTGGCAAAGTTCACCATACTCACTACAGTTACAAAGTGTAATTCCAAAGGTGTGCGATGTCACAGCAGCATGAAAATATCCCAGCGCAGGTGTGGGAGTGCTGTAAAAGAGGAAGAAACAAGGAGGGCCAGCCTCCTGTATAGATCATATACAGGTGGTATAATATAAGGCTATATTCCTAAGTGTTACTCAGGGCTACTCCAGCTGGGAAGACTAAGATACAAATATTACCAAAAGTATTGGGACACCCCTCCAAATCATTGGATTCAGGTGTCCCAATCACCTCCATGGCCACAGGTATATAAAATTAAGCACCTATGCATACAGACTGCTTCTACAAACATTTGTGAAAGAATGGGTCACTCTCAGGAGCTCAGTGAATTCAATTGTGGTACCGTGCTAGGTTGCCACCTCTCCAATATGTCCATCTGTGAAATTTCCTTGCTACTAAATATTCCATGGTCAAAGTGGAGGCTGCGAGCCAGGCCTTCTTGTACAACATCAGAGCCTTACCTCACAAGTGCGCTTCTGAAGAATGGTCAAACATTCCCATAGACACACTCCTAAACCTTATGGACAGCCTTCTCAGAAGAGTTGAAGCTGTTACAGCTGCAAAGGGTGCCCTGGAGCCCCTCAACCTGCCTTGTTGAGTATACCAGGTGAAATATCCTTTTTATATTGTGACAGATCACCACACTGTCACAATATTCATTTATTTAGTAAAACGTTAACAACATAAAAAAAAAGAAAGGAGAAAAACAATAAAACTCCCCCCACCCCCCCAAAAAAAAATAGCCTGTGGGTTGAGGATAGCAGCTAAACAACAACTGTTGGGTCTATGCAGTGTGAACACATGTAGCCCACCACACTGCAGTTCACAGCAATGTAGCACAATACAGCACTGTACAGCAACAACTATCTATCCCTGCAAAATATGTTAAATTTGAGCACTGTTTATAGCACTATACTGTATATAGCAAAGGCACTGTATAGTACAACTATCTCTCCCTAACTACACACTGTCAACTCGCTTTATCGGCTACAACACTGACAAATTGCTGCAGAACACTGCCTTTTCTAGTGAGTGGTCTGGCACACAAAAAAAAACCCTTGTTGGATATTCTAAGAAAAATGACCTAAGTTGGAAAGTCAGGAAGTGCACTATCAATAGTTGGTTGCCATTTTAGCAAACAGACGCATTAGTTCTTTGTGCCTGTGAACGGACTGGATTTTCAGCAAACTTGTGTTCTACCCCAACTTAAAGCTAGTTTCTATGGAAAAAATATTAGATATACAATTTAAAACCGACCCAATCACTCCTGATTTCAGTGGCATTCTATTGTAGTTCAACTATACAGTCCTTTACAACTAAGTTGTAAACCACATTTATTATATTCAAACTCTAAGGTAATTAAATTTGTGTACCATTCTTTCTAAACTTAGTATATTGTATGATGTACTTTATATATATAGTGTGCATATCATGGAAGCTGTAAGATGTTACTTCAACCAACTTACTTCAACTCTATTTCTATAAACCAGAGATCCAGGTGGCTGTAAAACATCATTTAAAAGAATCAATAAAGAAAAGGAAATAGAAATGAAGTGGGAGCAGTTTATAATGCCAGGAAAGGTAAATTATTTTTTTTACTTCCTACAACTGCCAGAAATATTTTGCCATGTTTTACAGGTATAAATAAATTTAATATCCTAAAAGGTAGAGCTAAATATTTCAGCTAGTTAATCTTTTAGTGAGAAAAATATATGGAGAGAGTTTGGCTCATCAGCCATGCCTATATATTACACTTGCAAAAAAGTAAAGCTGTAAAGCCGTGGCATGCTTATATTAAGTGGAACCCATTATTTTATGTTATAGTGATGTACATGTCCCACTGGAGTTAGAGTACAATGCCATATAAATTAATGCTGCATGGATTTTGGGGGAAATATGGAACTGTTTTCCAGTGTAAATGATGCAAATCTCTTTCCAATTCTTTAAATCTCAAATCACATTGTATTTCTGTGACTTGTGGCCAGTGTTTCAATCTTCATTTTCCCAGTGGTTGGCTTCATAAAATATTTTTGGAGATTGAGGTGCAGGCTGCAGATGACATCAAAAAGAAACAAATGTGGCAGGACGAAAGTAAAATTTTATATGTGTTCTATTGACTTCCTTTGGATCAGTGACTATGAAATAACCCTTTAGGATAGGTAAACATGCAAGAGATAAGCAACACTATTAGCTGCCAATCAGTCTGCCTTTCACTTAGCAAAGCCTACAGTGACAGTTTTTCTGTGCATTTGTGACCCCCTACACCTGTAATCATAGGAATCCAACTGTGACAGATTTGTATGGGTCAGCAACAGATTTATCACAGCAGAAAAGACAGATGCACAATTAAGAGGTGGTCAATGTCAGCTTTGATTCTGTGGCAGTGCTACTTTAGGGCAACTTTAGAAGGATTGTATTGTTAACAGGGCCAGTTGACACCATGTATCGTACAGGAATGTGCTGTGCGTTCCTGTGTGATTCACATACGATCTGGGTGCAGAGCAATTTCAGCCCATTTATATGAGTGGGCTGAAACTTTGACACTCTGCAGCAAAAGTAGTGCATGCGCTACTTTATAAAACGCACAGCAACCAGATCGCATGGTAGTACTTTACTATACAATCCAGTGCAGGAAAATGCACTGCATCTCGCCGTTGTGACTGGGCGTCATATGACGTCCTGTCAAAATAAGCCACTCATGCGGCCGCGGGGCTGCGCAGAGGCGCAATCTGACACCGGCTGTGTCCACAGGACACAGCTGATGAGATATCGCTACACCGGCCCATTCCCAGTGTCATGTGCCCGCTGTGACCAATCACAGCTGATCACGACAATCGTATACAATGGATGGCTTCCTGTCATGCCATCTATTGTATACAATTATGTTGTTAGCTGTGACTAGTCAAGGCAGTCACCTGATACAGACAGGGTCAATCACAGTCCATCTGTATCATGTGATCAGCTTTGCCCAATCACAGCTAATCACAACAAAAGACTGAATTAATCAGTTTAATTCAGTAACAATGATTGCAATTATCAATTAAATACATTGGTATTAGTAATCATAATGTGTTAAAAAAAAAAATCAAGATCACTTGCCCAGAGTAGTTCAAAGTTACTATGGTAACATTGTATTGCTTTGGTCACAGTGTGCTGAAAAATAAAATAGTAAAAAAGAGAAAACATTTTAAAAAAAATAAAAGAAATAATAGAAACATTTGAAAAAAAAATACAAATTCAATTATTATTATTATTTTGCACCAAAGAAATGTAGCAGAATACATTTTGACCTAAATTTATAAAGAAATTGTATTTATTTGCAAAATTTTATAACAGAAACCAAGAAAAATGTGTTTTTTTTTCAAAAGTTTCAGGTGTTTTTTTGTTTTATTTAGCAAAAAAAAAAAAAAACTCAGTGGTGATTAAATACCACCAAAGGAAAGCTCTATGTGTGTGAAAAAAATTATAAATATGTCATATAGGTACAGTGTTGCATGACCACGCAATTGTCTTTCAGAGTGCGATAGCACTGAAAGCTGAAAATTGGAATGGCCAGGAAGGGGGTAAAAGTGCCCAGTATTGAAGTGGTTAAGCTAACACACACCCACTGTATATTGCAAGTACAGTGCATTTTGAACACGGTGCAGGAAACATGCACAGAAGGAACACGGGAGAGCTCTTGCCCATAATGGGCATGGTATTGACACAGCTCCAGATGATCCCCATTGTCCCACAATTGATATGATCCAAAAATATGTAGACAATATAAAGGTGAATAAAGCACCTGGACCCGATGGCATACACCCACGGGTCCTTAAAGAGTTGAGTTCTGTCATTTCAAAGCCATTTTTTCTAATTTTTAGGGACTCTTTAATGACTGGCATAGTACCACTGGATTGGCGTAAGGCCAATGTGGTGCCAATATTTAAAAAGGGGTCAAAATCTTTACCAAGTAATTATAGACCTGTTAGTTTAACTTCTATAGTTGGGAAGATACTGGAGAGTTTAATAAAAGACCACATAGATGAGTTCTTGCTGGAAAAAAAAAAATTTTAAGCAACAGACAGCATGGATTCATGAAAGACAGAAGTTGTCAAACAAATCTGATTTCTTTTTATGAGTTGAGCAAAACCTTAGACAGAGGGGTGGCGGTGGACGTGCTATACTTGGATTTTGCAAAAGCGTTTGACACAGTTCCCCGCACACGGCTAATGTGTAAGGTAAAGTCTACGGGCTTGGAAAAATCCATATGTAAATGAATAGAAAACTGGCTAAAAGATCGTATTCAAAGAGTAGTGGTTAATGATTCATACTCTGAATGGTCTAGGGTCATCAGTGGTGTACCCCAAGGTTCAGTGTTGGGACCCTTACTTTTAATATAATTATAAACAATATAGGGTCTGAGATTAAAAATCCCATTTCAGTCTTGCAGATGACACCAAGCTGTGCAATGGAATAACGCCCTTACAGGATGTCTTCAACTTACAAGAAGAGCTCAATGCACTGTTTAATTGGGCAACTATGTGGCAAATGAGGTTTAATGTTGATTAATGTAAGGTTATGCACTTGGGGGCTAAGAATATGCATGCATCATACATACTAGGGGGGTACAACTGGGGGAATCAATGGTGGAGAAGGATCTGGGAGTTCTGGTAGATCACAAGCTTATAAATGGTATGCAATGCCAAGCTGCGGTTTCTAAAGTGAGCAAAATCCTCTCTTGTATTAAAAGAGGTATAGACTCCAGAGAGAGATATCATATTACCCCTGTACAAATCATTAGTAATACCTCATCTGGAATATGCAGTTCAATTTTGGGCACCAATTCACAAAAAGAACATTGGGACACTGGAGAAAGTACAGAGAAGGGCAACCAAACTGATAAGAGGCATGGAGGAGCTCAGCTATGAGGAAAGATTAGAGGAACTGAATTTATTCTCTCTTGAGAAGTGGAGATGAAGGGGGGATATGATCAACATGTATAAATACATCAGTGGTTCATGTAGTGAACTCGGTGTAGAGCTATTTACCCTGAGGTCATCACAGAGGACAAGGCGGCACTCTTTACGGGTTTCCTGCACTGTGTTCTGGTGTGAACTGGTCCTAAAGGTGTAATAAATCTGTTGCATAATCTGTCCCCTGATCCTGTTTAGTATTGCCTTGCTGTGCTACAGAATCGATAAATCCCCCCCCCCCCCATACCACTCTGCTTATTCCTAAATACATTATTATTTAAGATCCCTTCGATGTTAATCAGACTTATTAACGGCTTTGCTGTATACTTAAATATAAACGTAATTTTATTATTAAAATTATATATTTTGCAGCTTCCTATCTGTTGGATTCATTGGTATTGATTTACTTGGCATTCTAGTCATAACCTAACTAACGCTAAACCTACTCCTACCGCCATTCTAAGACTATTCTATCTAACCCTGCAAGATAATGATGTGCATACTAAACTATTTTGAAGCCGCTCAGGTCCGGTCTCCAACGGTAGCCTCTGTGTGCAGGAAAGAAAGCAGAAAACAACTGGGAAATGCCTGTGAGATGACGTCACTCATAGATTTACTGCCTCTCCTGCACATAGTAGCTGCCCCTGACAGCTTATCCTGGAATAAGTAATATATACAGATCTTTTCTTTACAGGGTTAGATAGCATAGGCTTAGAATGGGGGTGGGAGTAGACTTAGAGGTAGTTATAACTGGAATTCCCCTTTAATGCAAACCAACTGCTCACTATGCAAAGGAATTTTCACTTTATACAAGAACTCTCCCTAAATTTAGTGAATAAGGTGAAGCTCTGGTGACTTCCACAATTCAATAACATGCAGGCAAAGATACTGTTTGCAGCCTATTTTCCTTTATAAATCAATATCCTTGTCTTCATTGTCGGAAATGCTGGATGATGCTAAATGCCACATTGTGGGTTGACTCCAGTTGAGCTGTTTTTAAAAGGCTCTTCCGTGTCTCTCCAAAAAATTAAGTCAGCAACTACAAATGGGGCAGCACACTGGCTAAGTGGTTATTGGATGCTTTGACAAAATGTTCAAATCAGGTGCTTATATTTATTATTCCTCTCCACAAAAGGTAAGCTGAATCTGACTGGTTGCTGCAGACAGTATATATATGTTCCTCTATTGTCCTCCTTAACTTCCCTTTCTCCTTGTCTCCAAGGCCCTATTCACACTTTGTGTAGTTCCACTCACTATTTTGTGTGGGTGATATTTACCCAATTCTGCCTGTTGAGCATAGGGCAGGTCATGCACTTGAATGGGCTGCCCTATGCACATTTGTTGTGGTAAAGGAGTTCAAGGACCAAACTTTGACCCTGAGCCAAGCACGTTTTTACACACGCATTTTGTCGCATGACAATCACAGCAAATATTATGACAAATGTGCATTGCCTAGGATTTGCCTTTGGTGAACCTTCTCTTTGAACATCCAGCTTTCTGTATGAAAGCAGCATGCAGGATTGAAGATGCCCAAATTAAAAAACCCAAAACTTTTTTTGTATGCCTCTGTATTCCAATGCTTGCCCTGGAAAATTTTAGAGAACACTCATCTGCTTTAAACAATGGCTAAATGGTTAGTACGTCTGTCTGGCAGTACTAGGGTCATTGGTTCAAATCCCAACCATGGTGCCACCTGCCTGGAGGTTGCATGTTATCCCTGTGCCTGTGTGGGTTTCCTCCCACACTCCAAAGACATGCTGGTAGGTTAATTGGCTCCTGTCTAAATAGGCCCTAGTATGTGTATGTATGAATGTAAGTTAGGGACCTTAGATTGTATGCCCCTTGAGGGTCAGGGACTGATGTGAATGTACAATATATATGTAAAAGCACTGCATATATTGACAACGCTATGTAAGTAACTGAAATAATAAATAATCAGCAGTACTTTCTTCATGCTGTCATAGCATGAGGAAAATATTGCCAAAAAATATTGCCAATAAATCACAGAGCAGATCTGCACTGATAATCAGGTCACTAATGATCAGTGCTGCCTGTTAGTGCCCATCATTGCTTCATATCAGTGCAGCATCATCAATGCCCACCGCTGCAGCTCATCAAAAGCACATCAGTGAAGGAGAAAAATTACTTGTTTGCAGTTAATTTTTCTAATTTTTTGCTTTTTTTTTTGTTTATAGTGCAAAAAATAAAACCCCAGTGGTGATTAAATACCACCAAAAGAAAGCTCTATTTGTGTCACAAAAATGCTAAAAATTTCATATGGGTACAGTGTTGCATGACCGTGCAATTCAAAGTGCAACAGTGCTGAAATCTGAAAATTGGCCTGGGAACAAAGGGGGTAAAAGTGCCCGGTAGGCAAGTGCTTAATATAGGGACACTTACCTGTCCATAATTTCACCTTCTGAAGAAAAATAATAAATGCACATTTTGTTCAGGTAAAACAATATGCATTTATTTTTTTTTCCTAAGGAGCCTGCAGAGCATTCCACCTTCAATCCGCAGATCACTGGTGCAATCTCAGGCTCCTGCAGATCCTCAGCATACTGTAGCTGCCTGCACTTACCATACGGGCAGGCAGTTACCTGAGAGCAGGAAGATCAATTAACTACAAGAGCCATCACCAGCACCCTCGTAGTTCATTGAGAAGTACAAGCCATCACCTGCAATGCCTGACAGTACTTATAAATATTCATTCACAGGAAACTGTGAATTTATAATGTGGCTCTGTGGGCGGCACCCTGCATGGCCACATTATTTTCAACAAGTGAGTGTGGGGAGAAGTTGTCCCGCCGCTGTCACATGGAGGGGGGATCAGTGGGGGAGAGGCTGCACATGCTGGAACATGTTACATGCTTCCCCCTAAAACAGGTGGAACACGTAACATATTCCGAAGGTGAACTTATCTTTTTTGAGGAGTTTGCTCTTCTCTAGTGATGATTACCTGCAAGGGCAATTGTAGGCATCATGCTATGCTACTACTATCATCGCATGAAACAATGGCATTGGAAGTCACTTTACTGCTCTAAAGTGGTTTATTTTAAATGTGCTTTGTGCGAAGCTGCTAAATATCCAGTATAGCAGCCACTGAAATCTGCCAGGGTGCAGCCAAGTCTGCATTAGCCTGTTTGTACAGTAGAGGGCAGTCATAGATTTCAGAGCATGATTTCCAGTTCCAATGCACAGAATTACTTTATTCCAAATGTCATATCTACACATTGAAAGTAAAGCAAGTTTTACTCAGAAATGAGGCCTTCAGTTAGAATAGCAGTCACTTGTGAACCTTCATAATGTCCTATTATGTGCACTTTGGTGTTTCTTTTTTATTCAAGCTGCAGCAATACTCTCACTGTTTAGGCAAATCTCTCTACAGCAATGGAAGACATGTTTTATTCTCGGGGTAAACTGTTTGGGTGGCGATTTACTGCCAGCTCAGGGTAGATTGTGAATGATGCTAAATGAGTCCTTGACCCACAAAAGCACAATATGTGCCCAGCAGGGGCGTCCCTAGGGTTGGTGTCACCCGATGCAGTAACACTTGGTGACACCCCCTCCGACGATCCCCGCAGAATGGATCGGATCTGCGGATTGAGCATAATGGATCAGACTCTGTTCCATTATGCTCCCCAATCTGCAGATCTGATCCATCCTGCGGGGATTGTTGGCTTTCTTTACAACTTACCTTTTCGTGGAGCGTGTCCGGTGTCAACTCGTATAGGTTGAATGCCGACGATCCCCGCAGGATGGTTCGGAGTCTGATCCATTATGCTCCCCAATCTGCAGATCCATTATGCTCCCCAATCCGCAGATCCGGTCCATCCTGCGGGGATCGTCAGCATGCAACCTATACGGGGTGACACCGGACACGCTCCACGAAAAGGTAAGTTGTAAAGAAAGCCAACAATCCCCGCAGGATGGATGGGATCCATCCTGCAGGGATCATCGGCTTTCTTTACAACTTACCTTTTCGTGGAGCGGGTCTGGTGTCACCCCGTGCGGGAGGTGTCACCCGGTGTGGTGCGCACCCCCCGCACCTGTCTCGGGACGCCACTGGTGCCCAGACATGCTTCATGTTCAGTTACAGGTCCAAATTTCTATGGAACTTTACATTTGTCTTCCAAGCAATGCACCCTAAATTTTACTAAAAGCTGTGTTTAGGCATGCAGCTGAGTATGTAAAGAAACATATATATATATATATGTTTGATTTTTGTCCCAACAAAAAAGTGCATTTCGTTCAGTTCTGAGAGTTCCACAAGTCTGCCACAGTCTTGCCTGAATGGACGGGAGACCTAATTTTTTTCTCTGCTGAAGTTAAAGTGTTACTAAACCCACAACAGTCAAATCATCCTGTATGAGGGCCGAATAAAAGGCTCTCAGCCTACCCATGAAGCATTTGTCTTAGCCCAATGTTATTTTTGCTACTCATAGTACATATCTTTTCAAGGCTCCATACCAAATTTCTCACAAATAGCTTTTTCTTTGTTTCAGTTATTGAAGACTGAAGTGCAGAGAGTCATCATTGTCTGAAAGATGGAGCAAGTGAGCAAATGTGCTGTTATCCAATACCTGCTGAAAAAGGGAATGAGTGGGCAGGACATCCACAAGGACATGATGGAAACATTAGGGGAGGATGCCCCTTCCTATTCCACTGTTAAAAAGTGGGTGGCGGAATTCAAGAGAGGGAACCCCTCTGTCCAAGATGCCCCTCGCAATGGAAGGCCAGCAACTGCCTGTATGGAGGAAAACATCACAGCAATCCAGGATCTTATAATGGCAGACAGGCGTGTGACAGAACGTTTCATCGCAGAGAAAGTGGGCATATCCCAGGAACGTGTTGGACACATTTTAGCAGTAGTACTGGACATGCACAAGGTGTCAAGTTGGAGGCTCCTGAGAATGTTGACTGTTGAAAACAAATGGGACAGACAGCAGCTGGGGCGGACTGGCAAGTCATGGGGCCCCTGGGCAATAGAGGATCATGGGGCCCCTGTGTCCTTGTCCAAACTCAAAAAAGCCTATGAAAAAGGTACCAGGGGCATCTCATGGGGCCCCCCTACTGACCCTGGGCCCTCGGGCAATGCCCGAGTTTCCAAATAGTCCGCCCCTGGACAGCAGGTATTGGATAACAGCACGTTTGCTCACTTTCTCCATCTTTCAGACAATGATGACCTTCTGCGCTTCAGTCTTCAATAACTGAAACAAAGAAAAAGCTATTTGTGAGAAATGTGGTATGGAACCTTGCAAAGATAAGTACTATGAGTAACAAAAATAAAATTAGGCTAAGGCAAATGCTTCATGGGTAGGCCGAGAATTTTTCAGGCACCCCTTGTTTATGCAGTAAAACATGCTTGTTATAATCACTGTGGAACCTAAGGGATTAATCCTCTGCATTGTGTAGAAGGGCCATTTGATCCTGACTTCTCTGTTCCTCCCCTTTTTCAAGCGACCACCTCTTATCTCCTGATAAGACAGACTGAACCGTAGGCATTTTGCACATGCTCAGTTTAGTGTGTATTGCTAGAGAGGGTTTTTTTTTTCTTGGGAGAGTGGAGATCTCCTATGTGATCAGCATCAGGGCCAATGAGCACTGGTCAGACAGAGGTCAGGGGTTTTGCATCCTCCTAGAGCAGAAATAAAACTCCTCCTACAAGCTTTAGCTAGTGCTTGACTGAACACTGATAGATGTCACAAGACTGCAATAACTGCTGATGGGAAAAGGTATTTAGCAGTTTATATTTACTAAAATAATTGCATTTCTATGTTGTGTGTACTGTGGGAGACCAGATATAGTGAATGCAGGATCCTGGGTTTAGTAACACTTTAAAGTGGTATTAGACCCAAAACTAAAAATGTAACATATTGCAGCTTACTAATAATTAGATGTAGTGGCTGTATTAGTTTTCTTTTTTAGGCATTTCCCCTCTGTTTCCACCTGGTGATCTGGCCAGTTACACACCTCCTGAATTACAGTGCTCCTGCTCTGGATGAAGGAGTACAGGGTCTGCTTTGGACAGAAAAATTGTCAGTCTAGGGGGAGCAGAGTGTCATAGTTGGATACACCAACAAAATTGAAGCCACACTCTAGATAACAGTTTTCAGACAGTTACAGAAACAATTTTATTTTCCTTTTTAGAGATAAAGGCTTTAAATAAAATCTGATTATTGTAAGCACTCCTGTCAGTGGGAAACATTTTGTCTAACCCCTGTAATTGCTACATCTTGGCATGTTTTGGTATTGAAAAATATGGGCAGAGAATATTGCTCAGAATGCTTCACAATGGTAATTTTAAGCTACCTAAGTCACCTGCTATCCAAAATGACATTTTTCGGTACAAAGGTCTTTTTTAATTATGTAATTTTTTTATATTTTACAATTTATAGGGTAAAAAGACAAGGGCAGAGAATTCTCCGTGGTCACGTACCACGAGCACGCAAGTTATCATTCCTCAGCATGTCTCGCTTTACTGGGCTTTCCATCAACTGTCACACCAACCATGGGCAGTGTCTCTTCCCTTCTTCCAAGCTCAGATGAGATGCCAATATCCTCAGATGGTCTTCAAGATGGTGGAGAGGACATAGAATCTACTGTTAATAGTTCTGTTCATACTTCAGCAAAAGTGAGCAAAGAAGAAGATGAAGAACCTCTGTCTGACTGTAAGTATTTTAGAACTGCATGTGTTAAAAAAAACTAAATGGTTATTGGATGCTTTGTCAAAATGTACAAATCAGGTGCTTATATTTATTATTCCTCTCCACTAAAAGGTAAGCTGAATTTGACTGGTTGCTGCAGACAGTATATACATGTTCCTCTATTGTCCTCCTCAACTTCCCTTTCTCCCTGTCTCCAAGGCCCCATTCACACTTTGTGTAGTTCCACTCACTATTTTGTGTGGGTGATATTTACCCGATTCCGCCTGTTGAGCATAGGGCAGGCCATGCACTTGAATGGGCTGCCCTATGCACATTTGTTGTGGTAAAGGAGCTCAAGCACCAAACTTTGACCCTGAGCCAACAACGTTTTTACACACGCATTTTGTCGCATGACAATCGCAGCAAATCTAACGGCAAATGTGCATTGCCTAAGAATTGCCTTTGATGAACCTTCTCTGTGAACATCCAGCTTTCTGTATGAAAGCAGCATGCAGGACTGAAGATACCCAAATGAAAAAAAAAACAAAACTTTTTTGTATGCCTCTGTATTCCAATGCTTGCTCTGGAAAAGTTTAGAAAACACACATCTGCTTTGAACAATGACTAAATGGTTAGTACTTCTGCCTGGCAGTACTAGGGTCATTGGTTCAAATCCCAACCACGGCACCACCTGCCTGGAGTTTGCATATTCTCCCTGTGCCTACATGGGTTTTCTCCAGGTACTCCGGTTTCCTCCCACACTCCAAAGACATGCTGGTAGGTTAATTGGATCCTGTCTAGATTGGCCCTAATATGTGTATGTATGAATGTAAGTTAGAGACCTTAGAGTGTATGCCCCTTGAAGGTTAGGGACTGTACAATATATATGTAAAGTGCTGCGTAAATTGACGGCGGTATATTAAGTACTTGAAATAAATAAAATAAAAAATAAATAAACAAGCCCTAAGAAATGGTATTCAAACACAAGTCAAGTGCACATACTGTGACCTCTGTTTAAGGCTAAACTCAAAATTTCTAAAAATGTTAGAATGCATGCTCTGTATGTGAACTGCCTTACCCTTCAATAAATTAGTCATTCTTTTTAGAGAGTCTTGTGATCCGTGTACCCCTTCCAGATAGTATAACCATGTCTGGACCTCCTCTGCAATTATCTGCTGACCAAAATAAAGGAGCAGTAGTGCATTGATTATCATCACTCTGGACTCTCCTTCTGTTCTCTTAAATAATCTAGACTGACTTCTTCTGTCAACATGTTGGACAGACAGTTGTGTGCAATGCAACATTTACTGGTTTTTTTTTGCCTTCCTCTGGATCAACTGTGGGTATAGGATTATAACTTTTTTTTTTAATGGTTGAACTGGTTGGACTTTTGTCTTTTTTAAGCCAGACTAACTATGTAACTATGTAATTATGTATGTAACATACTTTGATTGGTTCCTAAAGCTTCATCTCCCTCTCCCCACCCACTGTGCAAGAGATTACAGAATAATATAAAGAGAAACTTATACCAGTGACTTTAACAAAAATATATTTAACACTTTTTTTTTCTATGTGCCTGGAATTCAGCATTAAAAGTAATTGTGCATTTTAGAGATCAAAGCAAATTGATGGAGATCCTAATGAAAAAAATCCTGCGTGTGTACCTAGTTTATTAGGTCTGCCAAACCCTTGCCACAGCATGTGTAGATGCAGCGGGCAGTATCTCCAGGGCAGTGGATAAGGGGGTACCACCAGTCCTCCTGTATGGGGTCCAAGCCAGCAGAGGGGCCCAGGATACCTGGGTGAATTGGATGTTGGCAGGAAGGGTGATCGGCCCTGTGTGTGTGTGTGTGTGTGGGGGGGGGCAATTATTGGAACTGATCCCCTGTGTGGCTCTCTCTGCAGCAGCTGAAGGCTGGCTTCTTCTCCTCTCCCTCCCTCTGGCTTTCAGCTGCTGCAGAAAAGAGCCATAGAGAGGCACAATTCCAGTAAATGTCACCCGCTGCACCCATCACCCTCGCTGTGCACCATTCATTTGCTCCCACTGCCCAGGCCCCCCTGTGCGCCCCCACCCCTGCAGTGTTGCTGGCTTCCCTGCTCTCTTTCCCTGCTGCAAGCACACAATAGGATCTTTCACGATGGAGAGTGGGAGAAGGGTCTGGTAAATATTTCGCATTTACCAGTCCCTTCCTTTCCTGAATGAACACAAAGAGTGATCAGTACCATAATTGAAGCATAGTAAATGGTGTTTTTTTTGGGGGGAGTGGGTGTTGTCAGGTGGGCTGTATAGTGCCCTGTGGTTTCTAACAGCAGTCATGAGTATCTCTAAAGGCATGTTTTGCCAAAATGTCATTAAAACCTAACACATCCTGTGCCTACAACATCACATTACAATACTTAAGTCTGGTTATGATGTTGGAAGAATGCCGGATTTATGAGCTTCTTTCACTGTCTCCAATACTGATGGATACTTATTATTTAGAGACATATGCCAAATCTGCAGACATTGTGCTGTCTTATAAATAATGACCTTGAATTACCTACATGTCTCTCCGCAGTAATCAATATACTGTAGATGGAGTTTGCATATTAATAGAAAACAAAGGATGTGTTCTGTGTTATTCAGTGGCCTTTAGACAAAGACTGCATTTATTTTCCATAGGCTAATTATGGCAATGTAAAGTATACAAAGAAATAAATCATTAAAATAACTGGATAGTAACCATACACAGGTGGCTTCTCATCAATCCATTAAACTTCAGGCAGTGTGGTCTCCCTACCCTACAAGGGTTAAATGCTTGTTAGATTTAGGGGTAGATCTAGGATTAGGGATATAGAAAGAATACTTGCCTTATTCCTCAGTCCATCAACATACTTTCCACACTGTGCGATTGGATCCTGCAGCCTCTTCTCTAGGGCAATCTGGCCGGAGGTTGCACGCTGACATAGCATATAATGCAGGACTAAACGTCCTTTGGTTTACATGAGAACAGCAAGGGTCCAACCACAAACTGAAGCATTGGAGACAAGAGTAGGTCAGCAGCTGCCAGTGGAGTGAATAAAGTATTACAGCCTAGACTACCCCCTAGATTTAGCAAGCATTAACCTTTGCCACATGGGAGCCCTTTGTAATTCTCAGAGATCAGCTTTAAATTATCAATGTTTCAAAAGATCACCGAACATGCACATCTACTGGATACATTATGTTGGCTGCTCCTTATGTAGGGATGATCCTGCAGCTCTGGTTTATCTCTTTTTATGTCAAACATAAATCAATGAATCTCCGATGTAGACTTCATCAAATACTTATAGATACATCAATGGGGTCAATGGACATGTACTGTATCTTTTTTAAAGCGGTGATATAGCATCACATTCAGTGTTCCAGCTTACCATTCTTTTTTTTACATTAGGTAAATATAAAAATTTTGTATATGAATATTTCAAATGTAAATTTAAAACCAAAAGGTTCCTTTCCTCAAACAGGTCACTGTCTATTCTAAGCTACGTCACTGAAAGAAAAGCCTCAACCTCAAATTTTCACATACAACCAGACATGATGCTGCCCTTGGCACACCTCAATTATGATGCTGTTTTTACTAGTGACACCCCTTGTGCCATGTGATTAGTTTTGTGAAACTGTCACCTTGCCCATTGGGAGGGTCTTTAAATACATAAAGACAAATTCTGATTTGTTGATATTGGCTACTGGGATTGGTCTATATTAATAAGCTTGGGTTGCAAGCAGGGGCAGACTGACAACTGATCATGGCGCCCCTGTGTCTTTGTCCACACTCAAACCACACCCAAAAAAGCCTATGAATGGTACCAGGGGCATCTTATGGGGCCCTCTACTGACCCTGGGCCCTCGGGCAGTGCCCGAGTTTCCAAATGGTCAGTCCGCCCCTGGTTGCAAGTTAAGTTGACAAGTCTATATGAAAATAAAAAAGACACACTGCAAGGGAAGGAATACATCTGCGCATTCATAATTTATCAGTTTTATTTTTATTGTACGTAAAATGCCAGCTGCTGTTTCATGTGTAAGTGTGCTAAAAATTCCAAAGCATATTTCATTGCTGTGTGATTTTTGTTTTTAAATAGTTGAATCAACTATATTAAAATGTCACTGTTTAATGCTTTCAGATATGCAGACCTTGCTGAAGATGATTGGAGACAGGGTTAGTAAGGAATTAGCTGAAGAAGAAAGTCAATCCAAGTACAAGTTAAAAAGGTACCTATTATACATTCATAACACTGAAGACCAGGGGCGGAGTGACAACTCATGGGGCCCCCGGGCAATAGGGATCATGAGGCCCCTGTGTCCTTGCCCAAACTCAAAAAAGCCTATGAAAAAGGTACCAGGGGCATCTCATGGGGCCCCCTACTGACCCCGGGCCCCAGTCTGCCCCTGCTGAAGACTGAAAACACATTAAAGTATTGTGGAGGAACCACAGCAAATTTTTTAACATGTTTTATTCTAGCATACTAATTCTAATAAACAGTGGAGCAGAAACAGGGGGCAGAGAACCACCACTAGGTTTCAAACCAGAACACCAAAGAAATACAAAAACAACTTTTGGTTAAGTTACAAATTGATTATCATGCAATATATACCCCATTGCAGTTCTGTCCTCCAGTCCCTTTATCAATACTCTGTCCTATAGTGACATAGGGGCCTGGTGGAAAGAACCACAGCACATAGAAGAGGACCAGGCATCTGACACTTCTGGAAGTGTCTGATACATAGGATTTTTTAGCCAGAACAGTTCTTGAAGCCACACTGTCTGTTGGAGAGGTAAATATTATATACCTTTTTCTTTGCTAGCATGCCTTAGATTTGTGGTTTAGAAAAAGGGACAGGGTTTCATTAAAGGAGCATTTTTTTTATCTGTCAGTTTTGTCACATTTCAAATTAGTATCCATTTTTTATGCCATTGTCAGACTTGCAAACATGCTGCAAAACCAAGCTTACTCAGTTTATTCAGTTCATCCATTCTATAGATATGAGAAAATTGACAGTTGCTGGTAGTTATACATAAATAAGTCAGGGGCAAGATGTTGTGCAGTCTGTACTATACCACCATGGCCTTAATTAATATTTTTGTAACCTGAAATCATTTAAAGTTTAATCTTTAGCAGAAGATATCCTGAAACAGTTCGGTCATTGCTTATCCTGTAATGTCCATCTTAAAAAGAGGAGCATGCTGAGCATGGCTAAGAAATCCAAAGGGTTCAGATGGAAAGCCATTTAAAAAGTGAATAATACATGCATTCTTAATGTTATACAATTTGTTTTTCATGGCCCAAATCACTTAGTTTACTATAGAAGCCGAAGAACATGTTTTACCTATATTAGCAAACTTGTATGCAAATTTGTGAGCACAGGCTTATATATCACCTAGATGGATTTGCAACTTGAACTTTAAAGTTGTAAACCTCAGACAATGAAATCTGATCAGAGCACATATTTCTATGGGGTTTACTTACCTCTCTCCAAAGCACTGTCATTTCTCTCTGCTGTTATCAGCATGAGTAATTTTTTCCTGACACCAAGAACTAAAAAGGTGACCGGGGAGGGATCTCCAGCACACAGCCTGCAATTATGTGTGTGTGGGGGGGGGGGGGGGGGTCCCTTCCCTCCAATCAGCTCTCAGAGTTCTCGTACAGTGTGTAACTGCAGTGCCCCGCCCCCTTCTTTATGAGTCTGTAAAAAATCCTTTTTCATCTCTGAGTTTTACAAGGATGTAAAGGACAAATGGCTGCAAATAAACAAGTGCAACGTATGTAGGAGGGTTTGTTTTACCTCTGTGTATCACCTGAGTTCAGTCACTTCATTGGGAATAGGTAAGGTAAGTAAATCCTAATGTGTTCTGCAACTTTTTTTTGATTTTTATTTGATATACACTGAGCTTATGGACAGGGCTCTGATTTGGTTGCTGGCACTAATTTCATCACAGCAAGTGCTATTCGCCTACTGTATTTACTGAGATGTACTGTATACATATTATTTAAATCTTTCTGAAATGTTTACTTATTATGTTTATTAGAGCAATGATTTGGATCATGACATACAGCATATGCATGTTAAACAGTATAATATGTTCATGTTATACAGTATATGCATGTTACACAGTATAATATGTTCATGTTATACAGTATATGCATGTTAAACCGTATAATATGTGCATGTTATACAGTATATGCATGTTAAACAGTATAATATGCTCATGTTATACAGTATATGCATGTTAAACCGTATAATATGTGCATGTTATACAGTATATGCATGCATGTTACACAGTATAATATGTTCATGTTATACAGTATATGCATGTTACACAGTATAATATGTGCATGTTATACATTATATGCATGTTACACAGTATAATATGTTCATGTTATACGGTATATGCATGTTAAACAGTATAATATGTTCATGTTATACAGTATATGCATGTTAAACCGTATAATATGTGCATGTTATACAGTATATGCATGTTAAACAGTATAATATGTTCATGTTATACAGTATATGCATGTATACACAGTTATACATAATATGCATGTTACATGTTATATGTTCACGGTATATGCATGTTAAACAGTATAATCTGTTCATGTTATACAGTATATGCATGTTAAACAGTATAATATGTTCATGTTATACAGTATATGCATGTTAAACAGTATAATATGTTCATGTTATACAGTATATGCATGTTAAACAGTATAATATGTTCATGTTATACAGTATATGCATGTTAAACAGTATAATATGTGCATGTTATACAGTATATGCATGTTAAACCATATAATATGTTCATGTTATACAGTATATGCATGTTATACAGCATAAACCATATAATATGTGCATGTTATACAGTATATGCATGTTAAACAGTATAATATGTGCATGTTTATACAGTATATGCATGTTAAACAGTATAATATGTTCATGTTATACAGTATATGCATGTTAAACAGTATAATATGTGCATGTTATACAGTATATGCATGTTAAACAGTATAATATGTGCATGTTATACAGTATATGCATGTTAAACCATATAATATGTGCATGTTATACAGTATACAGCAATATGTTAAACCATATAATATGTGCATGTTACAGCATATGCATGTTAAACAGTATAATATGTTCATGTTATACAGTATATGCATGTTAAACGGTATAATATGTATATGCATGTTATACAGCATATGCATGTTAAACAGTATAAATATGTTCATGTTATACAGTATATGCATGTTAAACAGTATAATATGTGCATGTTATACAGCATATGCATGTTAAACAGTATAATATGTTCATGTTATACAGTATATGCATGTTAAACAGTATGAATGTTATACAGTATATGCATGTTATACAGTAGAATGTGTGCATGTTAACAGTATATGCATGTTAAACAGTATAATATGTGCATGTTATACAGTATAATATCTTACAAGCTATATATTACCACCACACTAAAACTCACTACTTTCTACACCTAATATGCTAAAGCTAATGATAATAAAGCTAACATTTAACATTTTTTTTGCACAACTTTAGGACCGGTTCACACTACATGCATTTCAGTTGCTTTTTTTCTGCATCCAAAACACACAGAAAGCAGATTATATGGTTGTCAATGTCATAGTTCACATCAGTGATTGCAGTTCCAGTGAGTTCCGGTTGCAGAAAAAAAAGTAAAACATGCTGCATTTTTCCTACACAGAACTGTACTGGAATGCGGTAAAACGCATTAAAAAACGCACCGGAATGAGCTGGAACGCACCAAAATGCATCAAAAACGCACTGGAATGCACATGTACCTGTTTAAATTGAAGAAAAAGAGAGGGGAATAAAATTAACTGGAATGCATAAAAACGCACTGGAACGTGTCAAAAACACATCAAAAATGCATTGGAACAAGTAAAAAAATGTGCACGTGGAAAGACATCTGGAATACATCTGGACTCCGTTTCTATAGTGTGAACCAGCCCTTAGTCACTTTACTTACCTGTAATGAAGACCTGTAGAAATCTTCACTGCAGGGATGCCCATAATCTTCCTGTCTCTGAACTTCTGGTGATGCAGGGGTTAATAAAATTGGGTTCTAAGCTGAGCTACTGTGAAAATGTTGTGGCAGGGTCCTGCCTCCTCCACCCTCCTCCTCCATTAAAAGATGTTCTTTCATTGTTTTCCCTGTATTCAACATGGTCTCTGAATGTGGGAGAGAATTCTCTGACTCATCAGACTCTCGCCCATTCAGAGGTCCTGTTACAGGTATTGTAAACAATGCAAGAACTTTTCTCAATGAAGCAGCAGGGGGAGGGGGCAACATTTCAGTTAAATGTTGTTTTTTCTAAGTACATACCTGTAGGCCATTTCTGCCCCCCAGAAGCCTGGCCAAAAAACTCCCAGTTAGTATTGACGTATCTTGACCAAGTCATGGGACACTTCAGCCATTAGAGGCTCACTCCCTGCATCACAGGGGCGAGCGCTGTTCATGCAAAGAAACCTGACTTCTCCAACTTGCTACATCTGGAGGAAAATAGATTTAATCTCCAATTACGGAAAGGTTTCTTCACAGTAAGAGTTGTGAAAATGTGGAATAGACTCCCTCAAGAGTTGATTCTGGCCAGCTCAGTGGATTGCTTTAAAAAAGGCCTGGATTATTGGATTATTTCTTACATACACAGAATATACCTGGATCAGGGGCGGACTGACCATTTGGAAACTCAGGCACTGCCGAGGGCCCTGGGTCAGTAGGGGGCCCCATGAGATGCCCTTGGTACCTTTTTCATAGGCTTTTTTGAGTTTGGGCAAGGACACAGGGGCCCCATAATCCCCTATTGCCCGGGGGCCCCATGAGTTGTCAGTCCGCCCCTGAACTGGATACTAACATTTATAGGTAAAGTTGATCCAGGTAATATCCGATTGCCTCTCGGGGGATCAGGAAGGATTTTTTTTCCCTGCAGGAGCAAATTGGATCATGCTTTGCTGGCTTTTTTTTACCTTCCTCTGGATCAACTTTTTTATGGTTGAACTGGATGGACTTTTGTCTTTTTTCAGCCAGACTAACTATGTAACTATGTAACTCAAGTGTATTCAGTTTAAATGAACCAGCAGCACCAGAATCAGTGCAGCTACACTGCTCCATCCGTTGGCAATGCCAGAACAAGGTCTCATAGACATCTATATGAAAAGGCAAGGAAGGGACTTGCAAGCTAGCTCAATAAACCTTTAATAAAACACACCCATAAAACACAATAGATTGCACTCACAAGAACCCAGTAATATGAATGCATCTCTCACTGGATACTTGTGAGTGCAATATAATGTATTTTACGGTTGTTTTCTTAGAGGTTTATTGTGCTAGGTTGCGAATCTCTTCCTAGTGTGAGCAGTGTTCATCAATAAAATCCCCACAGCAAAGCTCCAAACAAAAAGCCTGTGCACTCCCTGGATGATGTCAGTGGCCTGGCTGCAAAGTGAATTAGTAGAAAACTGTGGGCAGCTAAATGGCCAAGTGATTAGCACTTCTGCCTAGCAGCCCTACGGTCATTGGTTTCAATGCAATCCACAACACCACCTGCCTGGAGTTTGCATGTTTACACTGTGCCTACGTTGGATTCCTTCCACACTCCAAAGACATGCTGGTATGTAATTGTCCCTAGTATTTGTATGCATGAATGTGAATTACAGACATTAGATTGTAAGCTCCTTGAAGGCAGGGACTGATGTGAATGTACAATATATATGTGAAGCTCTGTGTAAATTGATGGCACTTAAATGATTAAAATAATAAAACTTGATGGGGCAATGGAACTTATTTTTTTTGTATGCAGAAGTTTTAGGTTTATGCAACCAACTATAAATACACACCAAAAGTAATGCATTGAATGTACCGTAATTTGTAATGTCATATGGTATCTATATTTACATAGTTAGTCTGGCTGAAAACAGACAAAAGTCCATCCAGTTCAACCATAAAAAAAGATATAATCCTATATCCACAGTTGATCCAGAGGAAGGCAAAAAAACCCAGCAAAGCATGAAGCAATTTGCTCCTGCAGGGAAAAAAATTCCTTCCTTCCTGATCCCCCGAGAGGCAATCAGATATTTCCTGGATCAACTTTACCTATAAATGTTAGTATCCAGTTATATTCTGTATATCTAAGAAACAATCCAGACTTTTTTAAAGCAATCCACTGAGCTGGCCAGAACCAACTCTTGAGGGAGTCTATTCCACATTTTCACAGCTCTCAATATGAAGAAACCTTTCCATGTTTGGAGATTAAATTTCTTTTCCTCCAGACGTAAAGAGTGCCCCCTTGTCCTCTGTGATGACCTCAGAGTGAATAGCTCTACACCAAGTTCACTATATGAACCACTGATGTATTTATACATGTTATGCCTTCATTTTTTAGTTTCTTTATTGTTTTAAGTATAAGCATATATGCAGCAATCCATGACATTTTTTTACAATATGGAGTTTCATTTAATACTTTTCGCACAGTGACATACCCTTAATTGAAAACAAAGAAACAGTGACCAAAGATGACCACGTTATTCCCAGAAGCGTCACCAAGAGACCTAAAAGGTGAGGTTACCTGCATTAAGGTAAAAAACCTTCCACTAGTTGTTCCCCCCACCCCCCTCCCTAAATACTTATCTGAATCCTGTTTCGATCCAGCGCTGTACTCATCTGCAGCAGTACTGGTTCTCTTTCTCTCCTCTAATTGGCACAGAGATAACAGCGGGAGCTATTGGCTTATTCTGCTGTCAATCCAATGCTTTGAGGAGGGAGCGGAGGCCAGGGCTGAGTTGCACTGTGTGTGTGTGTCTATAGACGCGCACAGCCTGACTCAGAAGCAAGCCCACAGTTGCCCCACCATAGGAAGCGACTTCCTATTGGAGTGCACAGGGAAGAGGAGGAGCCAAGAGCGCTAGCCAGGGATTCCAGAAGAGCAGGTTCAGGGCTGCTTTGTACCGTTGCACAAAGCAGGTAAGTTTAACATGTTTGTTATTTTGAAAAAATATAGTCTTTACAACAGCTTAAATTTGGACAGTTTAAAAATTGCCACAATGGTAAGGGAATTGGTTTTGAAACATACATTAAAAAGAGATGAACCATTTATTCAAATTCAGATCCAGGTGATCTACTTAGACCTGAATAGCAGAAGATAGAATTGTTTTATAACAAGCTCACTAGCTGATATTTTATTTTAATTAATAAAGGTACTGCTCATTCTCATTACTGTATGCACATTCTCCATAAATTAATCTATTAATAAAGAATTATACTGCACAGTAGAGCTACAACTGCATAGAATACGTGTAAGATAAAAATATAAATTAGGCACCTTCTAACCCGTTAGCATTTCCATTTTTTTATGTGATAGGACTCCATGAAGGGATAATGTCTGGCAGGCTACAGAATCTATGACACTGAGCTACTGACATTGATACCACTGGGCATTGGAAATCACTTTTGTTGTCGCCTGATGCCCAGATCTCTAAAATCTACTGCACAAAAAGCAGAAATATCACAGAAGCCAGCTAGAGAAAATCTATGAATTTTGCTGGTTCGTGAAAGCTAGGCCTTGGGAACTTGTGCAGCTACTCTCAAAACTTGAATTGTACCTCTGTCCCATTATGTGAAGTGTCACATCATGTATCTGTATCCAGTAATGTGAGAGCTACCATTTTTGACCAAGGGACATGTGCTACACCTTTACCTATGCTCAAATTCATCGTTTTGTCTTTATAGTTCCCCTGCTTCAGTGATGACACCTACGGGCCTATTCATTAGGAAAAAAAGTAAGATGCCTTCAGAGATGAGGGAGCTGTTCTTTGAAGTTGCTGATGAAGCAGATATGTGCTTACATGATAAAGTGGAGGCCATTGAAAGGCAAGTACACACATAATACTAATGCAATGTAATATTATATTGTACAGTATATTGGGTGCAGTGTTACCAATTACATAATTATCAGCAGATATGATTTATATCAAGGAGCTAGTAGCTGTCTGGCTGCCATACTTGCCTCTTGCTCCAAAGCTCATCTCCAGAAAGAAAAAAACCTGTTCCACTAAAGCACACTGTGCCTAAAATCTCTGATTTCTTGCCTAAAATTTTGGTCACAGGACAAAAAAGGTGCCAGATCCTCTTCTTTCTGGCCTGTAGTGTGAGAGAGTCAAGTCTACAGTTCCCATCTTGCTTCCTGGTGAAATGGGTGCTGCCCATTGATTGTCACACGTATCCATTACAGGGTCCTCACAGGTCATTTAAGTTTTGGAACTTCACATTATGATAAGTGGTGGACACAAAAGTGGCTGGCTGAGCAACAGTGAGAGATAAAATGAAGTTCCAATCACTGGTTGCTACAATTTGAAGGGAAACTATGAGGGATTAAGTGACAATGGATGCAAGTGACATTTTCTGGGGTGTTTATTTTTTAGTTTTAAGAAACAAATTTTTTTTTTTCACTACTTGTCTTTATTGTGCCTTCCCTCCTCTGCATGCTTGTTGTGGGTCAGTGACTCACAAACTGAAAGTCAGTGGTCAGCATTACAGCCATACATAGTCAGCAAGTCACAAAATGAACTTTTAATATAGTTTCAGTGAATACATGTCTTTGTGCAGAGGGCAACACCACTCCTGAAAACATTTATATTTTATGCTGCCTAAATCCTAAAGCCTTTTATTTGCATATTAATTGCTAAACATTCTATTTTCCTGAGTGCATTATATTTTTGTTTTTGTTAACCTAAACTATAGTTAGCCTACTAAAAAAATATATTTGGTGTTGCTAACCCAAAAATAGGTACATGTTTGATTTAAATCTACCAGAACCCTGGTCCACGCTTATTTTGACTGTGCCATTTTTTAAAATGCTGTTTACCAATGTAACATTGGTATGTGTAAGCTTGTTGACTCTCTAAAGTGTATTGTTCACTCATTCAGCTGGTCTAACGTATTCTCGAAAATCAATATAATTTTATTTAATGAAAAAAAACATTGCCAAAATTGCAATACTTTATCAACTTACCATAGCACATACCGTGATGAGTTTGCTAGTTTTAGGTTCTAACGTTATCTTTGTTTTTTTTTTTTAAATTATTATTCTTCAATTCTTTGTTAGGAGGCGTCAAGAATTCAGCACCCAAAAGTATCACTCTTTGGCTACAATCAGCAATTTCCGCCAAGATCTGGAAAAAATGAGAAAAAAATACTGTCATGTTAAAGAAGAGAAAGATTACACAGACACAAAAAACTGGTTTGTAGCATGCGAGCATTTGTAACATTAGTTCTTATATTAGATACAGTACAACTTGGTACAGATATTAGCTTTTGTCTCAATAGAAATGTTTGCTTTCTTACATCTGGAATTATTCCTCACTTGGATTTTAATCAATTGTATTCGTCTATGCAGGTTTGTAGTTTACACAGTCTAGAATTCCAGAAGACATGAAAAACAACCAGAAAATCAAAAAGATTTTAGAAAAACTTGAAAAGTTAGAAGAGAAAAAGTTTTTCAGAATACGTGTCAATTCCTTCCTTAAGGTGCTAGCTGGACTTCGTCATTGGGAACTATGTTCTCCTGATATATGTGTGGCTATAGAGGTAAGCAGGCAATCACTTTGAAAAAAATAAAATTTAGTAGTAAACTAGAACATCAATTTTGGTGGAACTTGGGCGGGTTACTATGGCAAACAGTTTTTAGTGGGGAGATCATCCCTATCATCTTCGACACACTTGGGGGTCTCATACAGTCATGAAGTGAATAGAGCATTTAATACACTGTATGTGTTTTTCCCATAGGCACATATGAAGAACTGATTTCTCCCAGTGATCCCAATGCTTCAGCTGAAAATACGAGTAAAGCTTAGCAGGGTATTGGGGCGGCGTTGACCTCTATCACACAGTCTTGCTGAGCATGCACTATCTGTATACTCTGTCCAAATATTAAGTGGTTGAAACTTTGTCAAGTTCAATAATTTTATTTTTGGTCATTTTATCATATACACCAAATGTTGGATCATGCACAAGGCAAGAGAAGCAGGCATGCAGTAAATTTGCTGATAAAACCAAGCCAGTCATATGTGCGTCTAAGTGTCTGAATATTGTTAAATACTGCTCAGCTTTAGGAGTCTCTTTCACCAAGAATTCAGTGATGAGGGGGGGAGAAGTCGACTGTAACATGTTACAAAAGGTGAACTTATCCTTTAATGTATTTTTGGTTCTGTTCTGCACCACCAAAAATATACATAAAAAATATTACACAAAATCAACAATGAGCACTAGACAACTGGAATGGTAGATACGCTTATAAGGTAACCAGTTTTTCTGTTAATTGTATGCCTTCACCTCTCAGTAATGTGGGAATTTACTTATTAACGTATGATCAGCAAGATTGGCTTGTGTAGGCCCCTACAAGCCATCAGGTCTACTTCATGATTGGCTTGTGTAGGCTATGTGCAGCAGTCTGTGTTCGCATTCATTGCTGGCCAAAATCATAACTTCACTGATAGCCATAAGGAAATGTTCACTCCAATTTACAATCAATTAATAATTACCAAGGTGGCCTTTTGAAAAAGTTCACTTATAATAATCAGTTAATGAACTGCTTGTGTTTATTTTGTTTTACTACAGGGAAAAACAAATGCATACATCATTGGCAAATGGAACTAAAGTGGAACTCTAGACAAACAACTATATACTTTTTTTTTGCTACATTTTCAGTTAGGCAGTAATACAACTAAAAAACAAATAACAGTAACTGTACTAGTTAAACATTAAAAATGTTACTTTTTAAGTATTTTCTCAAGCGCCGCCCCATGCGAGTAAATAATATGCCCATCAGAGAACATTTAATATGCTACATTTTGTTCATCCAGTTGTGTGATTTCCAAACATTTGCCATAGTGCACAGCATTATAAGTGAAACAATAATTTTCCTGCTTAAAGTAGAATTTCAGGTATGGCATTTTTACATAGTAGCTTGGAACAATGAAAGATTACAGTCAATTAATAATTACCAAGGTGGCCTTTTGAAAAAGTTCACTGCTAATAATCTGTTAATGAACTTCTTGTGTCTATTTTGTTTTACTACAGGGAAAAACAAATGCATACATCATTGGCAAATGGAACTAAAGTGTAACTCTAGATAAACAACTATATACTTTTTTTTTTTTTGCTAAATTTTCAATTAAACAGTAATACAAATGAAAAACAAATAACACTAACTGTACTAGTTAAACATCAAAAATGTTACTTTTTAAGCATTTTCTCAAGCGCCACGCCATGCGAGTAAATAATATGCCCATCAGAGAACATTTAATATGCTACATTTTGTTCATCCAATTGTATGATTTACAAACATTTGCCACAGTGCACTGCATTATAAGTGAAACAATAATTTTCCTGCTTAAAGTAGAATTTCAGGTATGGCATTTTTACATAGTAGCTTAGACCAATGTAACTATGCATATACAGTACCTTACCTGTTGGATCCCTCTAGAAGTTAGAAATCACTGTAGTAGACACTGATACTCCAGTGATCTTCATTAGCTTCCGGGTCACATGCCGAGTGGATGCCATGCTGCATTCTGAACACAAGAAGTTGGCCACTTGGCACAGGTGCCATTTAGAGAATGCTTTTCATTTTCTCAATGAATGAAAATCATTCTATGATTGCATGAGGTGGATAGGCGGATGGTGATGTCACACCTTTCCATCTGACTTATGAGGCACTAACTGTAAACTTGGAAGGAGTAATACTAAATGAGAAAGTGAAGTGGCTGGCCAAAACAAAAAACCTAAATGTAAACATATGTATATTTTTTAGCTGTTTCCCTGCAGTTTCATCTCTTTTGTCTGCTATTAAACACCAAATGTGCATAATTTTCTGGCCAATTTTAAACTGGAGTGACATTGTGGTAGAAAAAAAAATCTAAATTTTTAAAGTTTTGTAGCACTACCCCCTTGAGGGCCACTGAGTAATTTTTGGGTTCTCTTTCTTTCCGGAGTCCGATTTGGAAACCCAACCCCTGCTGACACCACCTTAGACCTTTGGTCAAAAGAACCCTCTGGCTGCAACCATAAAATAGACTCACATACAGTTTAGAGTGAACTGATATTTTGATTATATTGAGGTAAAAATGCAAGCACAGTAGAACAACAAGAAAATATGTCCATGGAATAACAGCTAATACTCAAATCAATTCTAGATGTCCTGCAATTCAGAATTTAAATGGTAACCCCAGGCCTGAGATGTGTCTTCACAAGTGAGCAGAAGGGGAAACAATCAAATTGGTAGGCTAACTCACATTTGGCTCTGAGGCACTGGTGGCTGGGTTTAATTCTGAGATAGCGCTCTTTAATTAGATTGGTTACTGTCCTTTTAAACTGCAGTGCCCAATATTCTGTCCATCCTCCATCCTGGGCTGAACATAGATATCTGTCTAATCAGCCTTCCAAAATTAAGAGATAACTTGTACTCCCCCAATTCAAAACAATATTTTGAGGGATCTTGTGAAAATATAAAAAATAAGTGGAGCTAATAGTTGAGCGTAGGAAATCCATCAAAAAGGCAACCGGCATATGGTGACCTAGATGACTGTGCGACCCTTAGAGTAGAGGTAAAGAATAAAATCAATTAAAATAATAGATCATGGTCTCCTGCCCCTCTACCTACTATGTAATTGAGATAAGAAGTGAAGAAGTGAAGAAGGGGTTAATAGTTTAAACAGAACAGCCTAGTGTGACAACCATGGCTGCCTCTATAGATGCGATGGAATGAGTCAGTGTACAGGAAGTGTGGTACTTGTATGATTACTAAATTAGAATAAAATTATTGAAAAAAGGAGACTAATATAGCCACCTCATTAAAGGACTCATAAGCAGCAATATCATGATTTTTTGTTTTTTGATTTCAACATATTTTATAGGTCCCCAACTGTAATGAGACCATACTATGATTGTTATATATAGCGGACCATACCATGACCATAGAAGCCCCTTATAAGTGATAGGATGTGGCAATAGGATATCACATAGCATGTACACACTGAAACCTATTGTGGAAAAAAAGATCCGTTACGCTCACATAGACTTATGTTTATTTACAGTTTTAATTATAAACTGCTGATTGTTCTTTGGCACCATGGAGCAGCTATAAAAGTGTGATTCATATCTTGCATTTAAATCCAGATCCTTTCTACTTAAATAGTTTTGCAAAGTCACTCAACCATTATATGAACTGGTAATTTTTTTCTTCAAGCTTGTTGATATATTGGCAAACAGAGCCACAAAACAAGCTCTTAAATTAGGAAAAAAAAATCAAAATGTGTTTCCCCCACACAGCTATATTTAGGGCCTATTGTTTAGGGTCTTACATCTTCATAATAAACAGTATACCATCCACTTTATACACCTTGACAAGAAAGCATTATAAAACACAAACTGCTCCATTAAGTTGATATCATTCTTCTATACCCAACCATCCATTAAGTGCTGATAGATCCAATAAAGCAAGTGCAAAAAGCAGTAGATATAGGAAGATGTGTTAGAATCTCCACATAACTATGTGATTCTATTGAGGTGCAATTCATCTGTTCAAACAGAAAAGAGCAGTGCATTTTATAGTGAACCTGTCACTTTGCTCTTTGAGGGTAAAGTAGTTCCAGAGCACTGAGCACAAAGCCATTAGTTAGCTTGCTGTGATTCAAATTATGTTGGCCTTCAGAGAGAACCCTAAGCTATTAAAACAGCCAGATCCTGCAAACCTCCTGCTCTGGTGTCATGCATGACACCAGCAACCTCCATCTTGGGCTGAACATAGATATCTGTCTAATGAGCAAAAACAAATCCCAGCACCTTTCCTACCAGTCTACAAAGAGGTCTTAAAATATACAATATATTGTCAACCGTATTGGGATGTCAGTAATAAAGGAAAAATAAAAAAGGGGGGGTTAAAAAATCAACTCGCCAGCTAGCTTGCCAAGAACCAAATTAACCTGTCTAACAGTATGCGTTAAAAAACTGGGGTTTAGTTAGCACACAATACAAACGTATTGGGCCGCCTGCCTTTACACACACATGAACTTTAATGGCATCCCAGTCTTAGTTCGTAGGATTCAATATTGGGTTGGCCCACCCTTTGCAGCTATAACAGCTTCTTCAACTCTTCTGGGAAGGCTGTCCACAAGGTTTAGGAGTGTGTCTATGGGAATGTTTGACCATTCTTCCAGAAGCAAATTTGTGAGGTCAGGCACTGATGTCGGACGAGAAGGCCTGGCTCGCAGTCTCCACTCTACTTCATTCCAAAGGTGTTAAATCGGGTTGAGGTCAGGACTCTGTGCAGGCCAAGTTCCTTCACCCCAAACTTGCTCATCCATGTCTTTATGGACCTTGCTTTGTGCACTGGTACGCAGTCATGCTGGAACAGGAAGGGGCCATCGCCAAACTGTTCCCACAAAGTTGGGAGCATGAAATTGTCCAAAATGTCTTGGTATGCTGACGCCTTAAAAACGTCAGGACAGTACAGATATCCACCAAATTACCCCTTTTTGGAACGTGGACATTCTGTGGTATTTAGTAGGAGGCATGGCAAGTTTTTTGAAAATTTACTTTGCAAAATAACAAATTATGTGCAAACAAAACTGGATTTTTGCTCACACATGATTGGGTGATTGAAGTCAGCACAATATCACCTCATTTCAAGATAAGTGAATATTTACATTATAAAGTGATAATTCTCTATGAAAGTGAACAATCTGTACTCTTTGAGGATCCATTCATAACAGGACATCTCAAATTGAGGGCAGAATTGTGGCAGTGTGACAATATGAACACGCGCCAAAGTGTTTGGAGGTGATATTCATTTCAATGGCACCTGAAAATGTGGGGTGTTTTTGCCACAATTGCAGCACGTTTTTCCATGCAAAAAACACGCCGCAATTGCACAGAATCACGGGCCACACAATGCCCAAAAAAGGTTCAAGAACCATTTTTTTTGGGTGTCGTGCATCCTACAATTTTGTTAGCGCAATTGCGGCACATTTGACATGCGGAAAAACATGCTGCGATCACAGCGAAAACTCCCTGCGTTTTTAGGTGACATTGAAATGAATGGCACCTCTAAACGTGATCACGTGTTTTTGCATTGGCACAATTGTTTTTCAAATCGTTGTGTTTCTGCACACAATTTGAATGGAGCCTTAGTAATTCAGGGAGCTTATATTCAATTAAGGCCCAGTCAAACTAACTGCTCCATCATCTGTAATACAAATACAAATAAATACAAAGTGTTGGAATGCTGTTTCCTGTTCCGCCATGCATTTAGCAAAACTGATGTGCAAAAACCTAACTATCCCAAAGAAATGCAATGTAATTATCTGGAGAATATCCATAATGGGCAAGGTGGACAGAAAAGGTGCAAATGGGAAGAATTAAGTGCATTGCATATTTGTGTATCATGCATAAATATTGCTGTTAGCTAGAATTACTAAAAAAAATAAACTGTATTAGATTTCTTAACATTTTTTGAGACCATAATAAAGGACAAGTTCACCTTTTGTATTCAGGCTGTAACATGTAACACGTATCATGTTACTGTTATAGCAACCCCTGCCCCCCCCAATCCTCCATTGTGACAGCGTGCTGGGCATCGTGTCATTCATTCACAGAGTTCTGTGAATGGGAGAACTACAAATACAGATAGTCTTTGCGGCTGATGGTTTGTTGTTCTCAATGAACTTCCAGGGCGTTGTTGAGAGCTCTAGGTAGTTAATTGATGCTTCCTGTTATTCAGTAAATGCCTGTCTGCAAAGTACAAGCAGACAGATACACTGACAGTCTGCAGGAGCCTGAGATCTGCAGATCGTGAGTGCAGTGCTTTGCATGTTTCTAGTAAAAATAAATAATAAATGCACAATTTTTTTACCTGCAAAAATATGTGCATTTATTTATTTATTTCCTTTAAACAGGCATAGTTCAGCACACTCACATTATTCACTTGAGCTGCAGCAACATACCCATGCATTGCTGGAGTTTGAGCCATTATACAGCTGCAGGAATCATCCCGGAACCATTTTTAGAGAGGACAGTCAACTCTCCTGTAAAAGCAATCAGTGGCTGACCAGTCATTCGATTCCTATCACAAGCAGTGGGAAGGGACGTCCACCTCCTCCAGTTGCCTTCCATAGCTTTACTGTGATCTCCCACTCCACCGATAGTCCTGGTTGACCAGCCGGTGCTTCTGCTGGATGATCACAGAGCCAAACAAAGACTGGATCGGATTTGTTCAACTCTATGATATAGTAACTCATCAATTCCGGTTTACTCAGATCTAAACGGCACTATTTTTCAAAAAGAAAACATTTGATCACACCAATCTTGGTGTGATTAAATACATTTAAGGGCAGAGGAGGGATATGGGGTCTTATTGACCCCATATCTCTCCATAAAGAGTACCTGTCACATGTCTATTGCTGTCACTGTATTGCTGATGTTTATATTCCTTGTGCGACAGTTTAAAAATAAATAAAAATTAAAGTTCCCCTGTCTCCCGTGCTTGCGTGCAAAGGAAAATGCATGCATCAGTCCCGCATGCATGCAAACAGTCATCTCCCCCCACATGTGAGGTATCACTGTGAATGTCAGATCATGGACAGTACTTCTAGCACCAGACCCCCCCACTGTAAATCTAAAGTAGTAACCTGTAAAGGCTTTTAAATCATCGCCTATGGCAGCCTTTGAAATTTTCACTCGCCCGCTCCCATTGGGTAAGTGGAAATAAGGTGGGGGGAGCAGAGCCGGGACTAAGGGTGTGTGGGAGGGGTGGCAGTGGAGGCGGTGACAAGCAATGATCTCGTGTATGGCTTTCAATGAAGCAGCTGAAAGTCGTGGGAGGGAGAGGAGGAGAATTGGCTTCCAGCAACTTCATTGAAAGCCATACAGGAGATGGCTGCTTGTCACTGCCTTCACCACTGCACAGATCATCCCAGAACATTCCTTTTCTTTCTGCCCCCCCATGTGTGCTCTTCAGTGCCCAGACCCTCCCCCTATCCTCCACACCAATAGGAGAAGAGGGAAGATAGGCTGGATCTGCTCTACCTCCCTCCTGTGCCCATCCTCTGCTCTGACTCCCTCCACACATCCTCTGAAGCTGCACATACTGGAGTGCGGGCAGGAAATTGAATACAGAGCAGCCGACAACTCTGATGCATTTGATGAGCATGTGAGTCCGACCTCCCTTCCTTCCAGCCACACCTCCCTTTCTTTCTTCCTTCCACCCACCTCTCCCTTCCTTCCTTCCACCCACCCCTTCCTTCCACTCTTCGCTCCCTTCCTTTCTTCCACCTACCCCTCCCTTCCTTCCGTCCACCCACGCCTCCCTTCCTTCCTTCCACCCACCCCTTCCTTCCTTCCTTCCTTCCTTCCTTCCACCTCTTCCTTCCTTCCACCCCCCATCCTCCCTCCCTTCCACCCCTCATTCATTTCTTCCTTCCTTCCACCCCTCCCTTCCTTCTTTCCACCCACCCCTCCCTTCCTTCCTTCTACCAATTGCTTCCACCCGTCCCTTCCTTCCTTCCACCCACCCCTCCCTTCCCTCCGATCCTTCCTTCCACCTGCCTTTCCTTCCTTCCTTCCTTCCTTCCTTCCTTCCTTCCTTTCCTTCCTTCCTTCCTTCCTCCCACCCCTCCCACCCCTCCCTCCCTTCCTTCCTTCCTTCCTTCCTTCCATTAACCCCTCCATTCCTTCCACCTCTCCCTTCCTCCCTTCCTTCCCCATCTTTTCCTTCCTTCTTTCCTCCCCTCCACCCATCGCTTCCACCTCTCCCTTCATTCCTTTTACCCACCCTTCCCTTCCCTTGCTACATCCTTCTACCCTCTCCTCCCTTCCTTCCTTCCTTCCTTCCCTCCCAGCCTTCCTCTCCTCCCTCCCTTCCACCCCGCCTTTCCTTCCACTCCTCCCATCCTTCCTGGCTAGTAGCTCAGGACTTGAAATTTTGAGACCTGGCCTATGGATAGTAAAATTTACATCATTGGTTGTCATTGCACGGACATGCGCAATTTTAAAGTTTGACATGTGTGACAATGCCAAATTTTATAATTTACAAAACAATTGGGTTATGTATTGTGGGTTTTTTTTGCATTCAAATTAAAAAACTGTACTTTTTCCCAAAAAATTGTGTTTGAAAAACTGCAAACCTTCGATTTATTCTCTAGGGCCTCTGCTTTAAAAAATACACAATGTTTGGGAGTTCTAAGTAATTTTCTAGCAGAAAATACTAATTGTTACATATAAACAAAAAGTACCAGAAAAGGTCTGGTCTTCAAGTAGTTACTTTATATTTACCCCATATACTTTCTTGTTTTGCAGTTTGTGAGGGAGCATCTGGTGCAGATGCCATTAGAGGACTACACAACTTGGCTCCAGACAAGACTGGCTTCTTCGCTATCCCATAGAGTCCAGAGTGCACCTCCACAAAGATGACCACTGCAGGGCCGAATAATAAATTAGTCATAGTTAAAGAATACAACACTACTTGTTTTTTACTTATCTTCACCAACAACACAGGATGATCTATGGTTTATATATTTACAACATCAATTCACTTGTCAGCTGTATAATAAGTCCTCTGTGGAATTTATCACTATATAGCAGAATTTTTTTCAAGACATCCAGTCTCAATAATTCTGTTGTTTTAGTCTTCAGTATATTGTGGAATCGTTCAAAAGCAATGCAGACATTTATGCAAGCTAACCTACAAAGTATGGAAATCAAATCTCAATTTGTGAGACTGAAAATAAAGCACAGTTTACATCATTTAAGATTGCAGCATATATAGTTAAAAATGTCAAAAATGGTAAATACTAGTTTATTAAACATCAATCCATAGATCATTTACTTATTATGGTATCACTTTGTTCATTTTGCCCATTCCTGTCCCTATGCTTATTTGCATGCAAATCATTTTTTTATGTATTGTAAATATTTCCAATAAAGCAAAAAGTATTTTGATGAAATATCTACTGACCATGTTTTAAAGACTTGATAACTGTGTGTATTTTCGTTTAACTAATGTGGGAATTATATATTGTAATCCCTCTGCTTGCCTGTAGCCCATTTCTACAAGCCATTTACTCTATCACTAAACAATGTCCAATTAAAAATATATAAGAGGGTCATGTGATATATATTATAAAGTTTAATTCCATAGTGGTATTACAGAAGCGGTTTGTGTTACGTAGCTGTGTTACTTTAACTGACAATTGCGCAGTCATGCAAAGCTGCACCAAAATGTAATTTACGTCCTTTTTTCCACACGAATTGAGCTTTCTTTTGGTGGTATTTGATCGCCTGTGCGTTTTTTAATTTTTTTGTGCTATAAAAAAAAAAAGTATGTAAATTTTAAGAAAAAAAAACAATATTTTGGAAAAACATGTCCAGTAAAAAAATGTTAAAATCAAATTTCATCATAAATTTAGGCCAAAATGTATTCTGCTACATGTCTTTGCTAAAAACAAATCCCAATACGTGTAAATTAATTGGTTTACGTGAAAGTTATAGTGTCTACAAATGGCGGTATATATGCTGGGATTTTTTTTTGTTATACTAATAAGCGATTTATGATGGCGATCAGCGACTTATGCAGACATTCTGACACTGGGGGGAACTGACTTGGGGTCACTGACATCCCCAGTGACACCAATACAGTGATCAGTGCAAAAAAAAAAGCACTGACACTGTACTAATGGCACTGGGGAGGAAGGGGTTAACATTAGAAGGCAATCAAAGGGTTAACTGTGTGATGATAGTGTTTCACTAGGGGGGCGGGGGATGTGTGCTTTACTGTAAGCACACTGATCCGGAAAGGCTGAGCTCAGCTATCTGGACCAGTTTGCTCAAACTGACAGGGAGGAGAGCTGCATTGTAAACAATGCAGCCGTCCTCCCTGTCAGTGTTTGCCGGTAATCACCGGGCCCTGGCGCGTAATCACTGGTCAGGAACCGGTGATTGACACCTGCAGCCGTGATCGGTGGCAGGGGTAGGGCGGTCGTGCGCCTCAGGTGTGCCCCTACCCGAAATGCAAAATCACCTATATATATACGTGATTTTGCGCAGTGGTGCTGTCCTGCTGGTCGGCAAGCGCTTTGGGTTTGTATGTAGGTATCACATCTTGTTCTTGTGGTTGTAAGGGCAGGTTAAAATGGTTGTAAGGACTAAAGATTTTTTTTACCTTAATGAATTCCACATAACAAATACTTACCTGAGCCCTATCTCAGTCAAGCGCTGTACCCAAGAGCAGCAGCACTGCTCTCTCTCTCATATCACAGGACTCAGAGGCAGCAGTGGAAGCCATTGGCTCCTGCAGCTGTCAATCAAATTCTGTGAGGAGGGAATGCGGAGCAGGGGCGAGCCGTGCTCTGTGTGTCAATAGATTCACACAGCCTGGCTCAGGATCGAACCAACATGAGTGCCCCCATAGCAAGCGGATTAGGAGAGGGAGTGGACTGCAGTGATGGGGGACCCCAGAAGAGGAGATTAAGGGCTGCTGTGTGCAATACCATTGCTCAGAGTAAGTATGTATAACATGTTTATTATTAAAAAAAACTCTTTGCAATCACTTTAAACTAAAACCCAAACTATAGCCACAATATTTTTTTTTTTAATTTTGAACAGAGCATGGGTGGGTTGAATATTCTATCAGGTTTCTATTGCTACTACATGTTATCCCTTTTAGGAATTCCCCTACTTTCTGTAAATACAGAAAGGCACACCTTCCAACTTTCTTAGAAAATAGAAAGCGGAACAACTTTCAGTGTAAACTATGCAGGAAAGGGACAAATGCCCTGCCATATCCCCAATTACATTGGCTATGAAGAGTTAGTATGTATAAATGTTATAGTTAAAGCCCAAGTACTTTTTCACCATTACTTTTCCTTCATATTGACTTTTAAAAACAACAAATGCAATATTTTAGATATTGTATTAAAGGTCTAAAAGGGTTTTGGTAGTTATTATTTTTATTATACAGGAATTATATAGAGCAACAGTTTGCACAGCAATTTACATTCAAAAGGGAGACAGTACAATTAAAATACCATTCCATAAAAGAGGGTTAGGAGGGCCCTACTAACGAGAGCTTACAATCTCAAAAGGAGGAGCAAGTGATACAAAAGGTAATAACTAGGAGTGCAGAGCTGATGGGAGAATTAAAAGTTCAGTTGTTAGGTGAAGGCAGGATAGGCTTCTTTGAAAAGTTGAGTTTTCAGGCATCACCTAAATGTAGAGAGTTGGAGATAGATTGTAGTAGAGAACTCCAGAGAGGAAGGGAGAGGCTCTTGAGAAGTTCTAGAGACAAGCATGGGAGGAGGAGACAAGGGAGCTAGAAAGGAGGAGGTCTTGGGAGGAGTGGAGAGGACAGTTTGGGTGATATCTTGAGACAAGATTGATGATGTAGCTTGGAGTTGTAAATGCATTTGATTGTTGTTAGCATTTTGTATTTTATTCATTGGGCAATTGGAAGCCAGTGGAGGGAAAGTTGAGCTTCACCTGTTTATTTTTAGACATAATGTAATTTTGTAGCTCTGGATTACAAACTTGAGGTACCCCATTCTAAAATGTAAAGAACAAATAGTTTAACACATTGAGGCAACATCCACACATGTAAGACACCCATCATTAGAGGCAATTTATTCTTCCAAAGCAAACACAGCTTTGCACGTTGGTACTGACAAGTATTCCAATGTTTCTCTTCTCCCTCAGTCAGCTAATGTGACTCCAGTGCTGACAGAGAGGGGTAGGAGAGGGTCAAACAAGGATGCTGTGCATGCACCCTGTGTCCTCCTTATCAACTGATGATGTAAATGGTTGTTACGATGACAGCGGCTAGAAAGTTGTAATGGTGCACAACGAAATCCTGTGGCTTTTTTAAAAAGGCAGGCTTGATCCACCCACTGGCTTGTATTTTTGTTTGTTTTTATTTTTGTTCATTTGGGCAATTTTAGGCATTTTGCAAGGCACAACTGAAGAAACCTAAAGGTGCCCAAGGTGTCTGGGCACCCTCGTTGAAAAAGACTGGTATAGTAGATGCTCTAAAAATTAATATATTCTTTATATATTTGTATATATTTTTAATGTGTATATTATATATATTTTTAATATGTACATTTATTGCAGTGGTGTGGCACTTGCAGGCTCAGTCATGTATATATAAGTAATTGATCCCGCTGTGGTTTAGAAGCATGCTGTGCGCCTGCTGGAGAGCACAGCATGCCCCTCTTGTGACCTCTGTTTTCACCAGACACAGCAGATCACTATAACTAGTAACCAGGTATCATGTGATCGCTATGATTGGTTATAGCAATCACATGATAACAATGTAAACAACCTACATAGTTAGTGTGACTGAAATAAAAAAGACAAACGTCCATCCAGTTCAACCATAAAAAAAAAAAAGTTATAATCCTACACCCACAGTTGATCCAGAGGAAGGCAAAAACCCCAGCAAAGCATAATCCAATTTGCTCCTACAGGGGAAAAAATATTCCTTCCTGATCCCCTGAGAGGCAATCGGATATTCCCTGGATCATCTGGGCCTTTTTTAAAGCAATCCACTGAGCTGGCCAGAACCAAACTCTTGAGGGAGTCTATTCCACATTTTCACAGCTCTCACTGTGAAGAAACCTTTCCGTATTGGAGATTAAATTTCTTTTCCTCCAGATGTAAAGAGTGCCCCCCTTGTCTTCTGTGATAACCTCAAGGTGAATAACTCTACACAGACACTGTATGAACCACTGATGTATTTATATGTTGATCATATCCCCCCTTAATCTCCTCTTCTCAAGAGAGAATAAATTCAGTCCCTCTAATCTTTCCTCATAGCTGAGCTCCTCCATGCCTCTTATCAGTTGGTTGCCCTTCTTTGTACTTTCTCCAGTTCCCCAATGTTCTTTTTGTGAATTGATGTCCAAAATGTAACTGCATATTCCAGATGAGGCATTACTAATGATTTGTAAAGGAGTAGAATGATCTATACCTCTTGTGTTACAAGAGAGGATTTTGCTCGCTTTAGAAACTGCAGCTTGGTATTGCTTGCCATTATTAAGTTTGTGATCTACCAGAACTCCAAGATCCTTCTCCAGCATTGATTCCCCCAGTTGTACCCCCCTAGTACAACTGGGGGAATCATATTCTTGGCTCCCAAGTGCAGAACACGTAGTTGCCACATACTTGCCCAATTAAACAGTGCATTGAGGTCGGCTTATAAGTTGGAGACATCCTGTAAGGACGTTATTCCACTGCACAGCTTGGTGTCATCTGCAAAGACTGAAATGGGATTTTTAATCCCAGACCCTATATTGTTTATAGATATATTAAAAAGTAAGGGTCCCAACATTGAACCACTGACAACCCTAGACCATTCAGAGTATGAATCATTAACCACTATTCTCTGAATACAATCTTTTAGCCAGTTTTCTATCCATTTACATACAGATTTTTCTAAGCCCATAGACTTTACTTTACACATTAGCCATGTGTGGGGAACTATGTCAAACGCTTTTGCAGAATCCAAGTATACCACGTCCACCGCCACCCCTCTGTCCAAGGTTTTTCTCACCTCCTCATAAAAAGAAATCATATTTGTTTGACAACTTCTGTCTTTCATGACTCCATTCTGTCTGTTGTTGCAAATGTGTTTTGCCAGCAAAAACTCATCTATGTGGTTTTTTGTTAAACTCTCCAGTATCTTCCCAACTATAGATGTTAAACTAACAGGTCTATAATTACTTGGTAAAGATTTTGCCTCTTTTTAAATATAGGCACCACTTTGGCCTTACGCCAATTCAGGGGTACTATGTCAGTCATTATAGAGTCCCTAAAAATTAGAAACAATGGCTTTTAAATGACAGAGCTCAATTCTTTAAGGACCCGTGATGCTGTAATGATGATGCTGTACTACACTGGTGACAGTATGTAAAAACAAATGGTGAAAAATAAAAATAATTTTAATTAATTTCTTCATTTTCCGTAAAAATCGTGACAAAAAATTACAGCTTCAAAAAGCCTGTCATGCCTCTTACTAAATACCTCAGACTGTCTATTTTTTCAAAACTGGGTAATTTGAGAGATATTTGTACTGTCCTGGAATTTTATGGCCTCAAGAAATTAGATCGGCTATCAGGTCATCAGGACTAATCAAGTTTCAAAAATATTTTCCAAAAGCTATGTTTGCTATACTTCTGTAGGTCAAATGAGTGCAGTTTGTTCTGCACTCCTGTGAATTGTTTTCAGCCAACAGAGGGCTAAATTCTGCTGATGTCCTTAGCCGGCCCAGGCTCTGAAAATTTCCCGATCATATGGCCAGGATCCACCCATAAGCCTGGTCTGGCACCTTGCTCAGCTTCTCAGCGATCGGCCAAGAGCCTGAGCCTGCCCCTCCTACCCCCTCCACAGCCCATAACTACTGTCAGGAATGGAGATTTTTTATTTATGTATTAATGGCATACATAAACCAACCCCATCAATTTTAAATATAAAAGTACAAAAACATAAATAAATAAATAAATACAAAACTCAACCAAAGAACTGAAAAGTCCCAAAAAGTCCCTGGGGGATGAAAAACAAACCAATAATAAACTTAGCCTTTATGGCAATAACTTAAAGTCCATCTCCTGAAAAGGAATCACATAACTATATACTTATATACAAGCAAATAAAAAGTCCCAATCCTGAAAGGGAACACTTAAACTTATATACACTATATACAATATGTACACAAGGGCCTTTATGGCCAAGACCCCTGCAAGGGAAGGCACAGGAGAAATCCCCCAAAGGAGCCTTTATGGCCCAGCACAGACACATAAACAATTTCCATACTAACTGCTGCTTGCGGCCTTTATGGCCCAAACCATACAGACCATCAACGGACTAACATAGCAGAATATATATATACACTGCAGGAGAAGGACTAAGGAACCCGAAGACCTTCCACGTCTGACCCCTACAACCTACCAGAAAAGGCTACCAAAAAAAATCTGAAACGCAAAATCTAGGGAGTGAACAGAGACTGAAACCAGGGTCAGATCCCACCA